GGCAGTAACATCTTACTCGACGCGCCTGTTCTGACCATATGGTCTCTGATCGTTCACTCTTTGTCAATTATGTCAACAACCATTCTGAAGTCGCAATCGCTGATGGAGGAGTGATTCATATTGAAGGCAAAGGCGACATCAACCTCAAGTCGTGTAACGAAACTATAACCTTGTCTGCTTTTCACGTTCCCAAATTAGGGAGTCCTTTGATCAGCATGGGCTGTTTGCTCAACGACGGTTATGTTTTCACTCATGACAAGGGTATTGTTATGATGACGAAGGATGGTCAAGGAAGTTTTCGAGGACAAGTTTGAAATAAGGTCATTGAATTAGATGCAACTTTAGGCACGTCGCAATCTTTCGTATGTTTCAAGACAACCATCTCTGACTACACTGTCTTACATAGAAGCTCCGGACACACCAATCCTCGACGACTGAACAAAATGTATGGAGTTCAGATGCCGGACAATTGGGTCTGTGAGGAATGTATGCTCTCTAAAGGTCATCGCCTACCATATTCTGGTTCACTTCCAAAGACCACTTTTCCCTTAGAATCTGTTCATAGTGATTTAAGCGGGAAGATTTCAGTTGTATCAGAAGGTGGTGGTCGCTATTATTTTAAACTTACTGATTCTTTTACAAACTATAAATATGTGTACATTATGCAATCAAAAGCGGAAACTTTCGCATGTTTTATGAAGTTCAAATCAGAAGTTGAGAATCAGCATAATCGAAAAATTGTGAGCTTGGTTAATGACCAAGGCGGAGAGTATATGTCAAGTGAATTCCGTCAGATGCTAGAAGAAAATGGAACTGTTTCTTATCTAAGTGCGCCATATACACCTCAGCAAAACTCAGTAGCAGAACGTGGAAATCGAACCACCACTGAGAAAGCACGGACACTTCTTCAACAGTCAAAATTGCCTTATTCCTTTTGGGGTGAAGCTGTGAGTACGGCGGTGTTCTTGGAGAATGTCACACCTATGGAGAAAATAGGCGGTCAAACTCCTTATGAACTTTGGTTTGGAAGAAAGTTTGATGTATCGAGATTGAAACCATTTGGATGTCAAGCTTATGTGTTAACTCCGAAGCAGTTTCGAAAGAAGTTTGACAACACGTCTGTTAAAGGCATCTTTTTAGGATATCAACTCGGAATGAAAAATTATCGAGTCAGACTTAACTCTGGAAAAATTGTGCTTTCACACGACGTAACCTTCGATGAAAACTCTTTTCCGGGAATTGGAAGATCAGAGAGTGATATCAATTTTGAAGAAGAAATGGACTCTAATCTTTCTGTCTCTACGTCTATTGTCCCATCAAACATTTCAAATGAAGCATCTTCAAGTACAACAGAGAAAGAAGTCAATGTTTTACCTTTATCATCAACAGACGAAAGGAATGAGCTGTCACATGAGTCGTCATTAATTCAATCTTCTTCTGAATCAATCATTACGCCCAATCCTGAAGCGTCAGGCAATCAACTAGTTCTTTTTCAAGAAACACCAATGCAAATCGAACACCCGGTACCAGACTTACCAGATCCTCCAATTCCATTGCCCAATGTTCCAGAAAAGCGTACGTGGGAATGGCAACCAGCGTCAATACCTGCGCCAAATGACATATCAAGCGTCATTGATCCAGCAAACATCTTACCGCCGGATTCTAAACGACATCGATCACATGAAGCACGACGATTGAAACATATTGATGAACGACGGTTGAAACAAAGCATGAATTATCTAGCAAATCACCAGAATCGACCAACAGTATCAGCAAGAGTCGCTCAGGTAGAAATTGATCCAAAAACTTATCTTCAAGCACTTAAGTCGGATAATTCATTTGACTGGAGAAAGGCTATTGATAATGAATTGGAGAATATGGACAGAAGGAAAGTGTGGGATGTATGTGAGTTACCGGAAGGAAAGAATGCAATTGGAACAACTTGGGTGTTTAAAAAGAAGATGGGGGGAGATGGAGAACTAATTAAATTCAAGGCTAGATTATGTGCACAAGGATTTTCACAAGAGTATGGTGAGGATTATAATGAAACATTTGCACCTACAGGAAGATTGGCGACCTTACGTACATTAAACACTATGGCTGCTGTACATGATCTAGAAGTTCATCAAATGGATGCAGTAGCTGCATTTCTAAATGGATCACCTCAAGAAGTCATTTATTTACGAATTCCTAAAGGCTTGAACATTTCGAATGCATCATTAACATCAGTTTTGAAATTAAATCAAGCGTTA